ACGCATTTTTCAAACGTTTTCTAGGTATTGGAGATAAAAAATTATGAATATATGAATCTTTGCAATTCATCTAATGTAGTTATTAACCCATTATACATTTACTTTTATTTTGAGCAGAACATGAGTCAGGATAAATGTTGATTATCGTGGGATGACTCTATTTTATACTGTTCTTCAAGAATATCCAAAAAGTGTATTAAAACTGATAAAATCTTCATAACATTTATATATGTAGTAATTCTCTTTACTCTGGTCATTTTTTGACATTATAACAAGTATAACATTATATAGGTTACAAACCAATGCTTGCCTACTATGCAATGTATTTTACGCCACTTTACTGTATTATACCGTATAGAACCTTGCACCACCTGAAATTTTTTGAAATTGAACACGGGTTATTAAACCATTGTCAATTATGGAATATGAATCATTCAAAAATGGATTAATTGAAAAAATGGGCTAATAGGTCAGAAAACATTTAAAAACACATAACATTGTTATACTGCTAAATTATAATATATTACTATTGTAAATGAATTTACTCCGTAAATAAATAAATATATAAAATAAATACAAGAATTATTTTAGATAATTTTAGAATTGTGCTACCAATTATGATGTACCATATGTCCATAGTAACTAGAAATAATTTATTATAAAATACTTTAATCACAATTCATAAATTATATTCTTAAAAGTGTATTAAATAAATTTTCTTAATACATTTCGGAATAAATTAGGATTTGAGTAACCATATTATTTGCCAACTAGCGTATATCTACTAACTTTTTGGTTCTACATTTTTTACTTTTTGTAAGTACTATTTACAAAGATTAGTAAAACAAAAGTTGTATAAACAACATTATTTAACCTTTAAAAAGTTAAAATAAACATAAGTATGAGGGTATCTGTTATTTATGTTGAATTTTTAAATAGAAATAAGTATAAAACTATACTTAATACGTATATAGTTTATAAATTATAATAGTAAAATTCATTTAAGTAATTTCTAATACCTGAATGCTAAATAAACATGATTAAAATTATATTGTATATTTTTAATATTTTATTGGAGAGCCATTCTATACTAGTAAAAAATTAAAAGTTGATATACTAAAAATGTATAATTGTTCATTAGCAATAAGCCAATAAATATGATATTAAATCATAATAATGTTCGCAGCATGTTTATTAATTATTATAATTGCTATATTTTGTTACTTCATTATTTGCATACATAAATGCATAATACTTAATTAATTTAATTAACTCTTTAACACTCCATAATATATTAATATATATTGGTCAACATTTAAAAATAATATATTGAAAAAAACAAATTTCCTAAATATATACGTTTTAGACATTCTGCAGATGTTAATTTTTCAGTGGTATTTAATCCATGATAAATACCAGCTTTTAATGACCTAATATTAGTTTCATTTAAAAGAAAGAACAAATATTCAGAATCAGTTTGATAAATTGGATTGTATGACAATAGTCTCGATTTAATGTATTCAGTTGGCTTTAATTTAACTAATCGATTACAATATTGACCATTTTGACCAAGAGGATAAATTGCAGGTAAACATTTTAAATCTAACTCTTTATCTCTTGGTCTATCGGATTTTCATTAATTTTAAGCATTTGGTAAAGCTCTGACGCTTTGGCATTTTTCCTGGGTTCATTTAAAGCATGTATAGTAAACTGTTAATAAAATGTGTCGTTAATATCTCTTTGAGTTAGAAAAGCGTGCAAGTTGGTCTGTTTTTCAATATTAAACTCAATACCTTCATGTTACTATATAAATGATTATTTTCTTTTAACCATAGAAGAGCATTATATATTTTGTTTACATCTACTAAGCTCTCCTATATTTTTTTTTTAGTCGACGGAACGCTACAAACTAAAATAAATAATTCATTATTTAAGATAGTATCGTCAGAATTGGGTAATTTTTTTAGTGTTTCTTCGATTGGTATTGGTCAATGGAAAGTTCTTCCAACAACTTTTTCAATCATATTACACCGGGGTTGTTGCTTACCAGAAATAGACTCCATTCTAACCAGGGGCGGACTGGCCCGGTCCGCTGGTCAGCGATCGCGGACTGGCCTGTCAGCCGTAATAATATATAATTTTGCCCTGCATTATTTATAAAAATAAAATATAAAATCAGACAAAAATGTATCTTATAATAATAATAATATGACGGAATTCTAAACACTGGATAATAATAATAAACAATGCTTCTGCTGAAAATTAATTCATATTAATTTATTTTTGTTATCGGCTTATTCTATTTTCGTATCGTTCCGATTAAATCACTATACGGGCCTACGGGTTATGGCTATATACTCGCGTCGCGCAGCACATATTATACATATATTTGATGACGGAAGAACATAATAATATTATATCATGTATAATATTATCATACCCATTATCCATTGTTTATTTTTATTTTAAATACAAATATGAAATGTTATTTAATTCAAATTAAAAATGAGGCAACAGTTTTGAACGGCGTTTATTTTCCATCCAATAGGCAGACCAACAACGTGTCAACATCGCTTATAAACTATCAGGTAAGAAATATTTCATTTTAATAACTTGTAGACGGTATTATAGTACTATAGTAGTGTTAATGTGATTTTTAGCGGAAACGGTATTTTAGTCTAGTACTCTAGTCTTTTATATTACCATTAATAATTTATTTAAGTATTATTACAATGATGGGTTAAATTAATTGTTTTAATTTTTTATAAAAATATATTAATTCAATACTGTTTGGGATTTAGATTCGTAACATATCTTCAATTTAAAATGGACAAGCGTAGTGGTGATGACGATAGTAATAAATACCCTGTGAAATTAAAACGTAGTTCTGGATGGGCAAGAAAAAAAGAAACTGATGGACAAAAATTAAAAGCTATTGCTCACGACAAAAATCAACAAAAATTAAATTTTGGATTTATACCTAGCACGCGACCATCTATTGAAGTTGCATTGCATTTTGACACAGTACCATCAATTACTAATAATGACTCAATTCAAAATTCAATGGTAAATATGCAACCATCAATTTCTGAACCATCGTGTAGTAATATTATAAAACATACTAACATAATTAATATCCCCAAAGATGAAATGCTCAAATAATGAATCTACACAAGATCTTAACGTTAATATACAGCCTTCCATTAATTCATCAATTGAATTTGATAAACGTAATATAGTTGATTTTGGAAATGATATTGTTCCCAATGATTCTCCACATGAAGATGAAGTAGCACAGAGTTCGGAATCAGACTTAGATGATAACTTTCTGGTAGACATAATTTATCTTCGAACAATTTTAAAGCGCTTTCTCATAATTCGTCGTTGGCTGAAAAACTATGTTTTATGTCAAATCATCCCATACAGCCACAGTATGATCAACTACCATTTAACGCATATAAAATATATTTTCGTCCATTATCTAATACTGATAACACTCAAATTCCTAGAAATTGGTTATCATTTGATGGGAAAAATAAAAAGCTTTTTTGTGCCGTGTGTTTAGCCTTTTCAGTAAATAAAGAATCCATTTTTGTACAAGGTGTACAAGTAAGCGCTAAAAATATTTATAAACAAATTAAAGTACATGAAAATTCTAAAATACACGATGAAGCTGTTTATGCTTATATGCAAGCAAAAAAAGTTAAAGATGTTTCGTCTCTTATTGATATAAATCAACGAAATTGTCGAGTAATTCAAGTTCAAGAACATAGACTTTTCCTGTCAAGAATAATTGAAGGAATTATTTATATTGGCAGACAAGGCATTGCTTATAGAGCTCATAAAGGAGAACAAGCATACACATTAGACGATAAAAGTATGAACCACGGAAACTTTTTGGAGTTATTGATGTGTTGGTCTAAATTTGACCCAATTCTAGAAAAGTATCTAAATATTGCGATTGAAAAAAGTAAAAACCGTTCAACTTTAAGTGGAGGACGTGGACGTGGATCACTTGTTACATTTATTTCAAAAACTACGATTAATAAAATAATCAATTTAATTTCACAGTGGATACAAGATGAAATTGGAAAAGAAGTAAAAAAAAGCAAAATATTATAGTTTACTCATAGATTCTACCCAGGATGTAAGTGTAACCGATCAATTGGCTGTATGTGTCCGTTATGTGATTCAAACTGAAGTAAAAGAACTATTAAATTTTTACCAGTACAATCATCAAAGGCAATCGATTTATATAACTTAATTAAAAATGTTTTAGAAGATATTGGGTTATCTCTGTCTAATATTGTAAGTCAGGCGTACGATGGCGCTGCGAATTTAAGTGGTATTCACAATGGTTTACAAGCTCTCATTAAAAAAGATGCACCTCAATCTATTCACACACATTGCTTTAGTCATCTTTTAAATCTTACACTTACACAAGCTTCTGATTCGTGTTCAGAAGCTATAAATCTTTTTGGATTACTAGATCGTTTGGCTGTATTTTTTAGTCAATCATATAAAAGAATGGAAATGTGGAAACAAAATGTTATTAAAAATTCTGTTGGAAGTGAAAAAATGTTACGCCTTCAAAAAATAGGACAAACTAGGTGGTGGAGCAGAGATGTTGCGTTAAATAACGTATTTGATCCATTATTCACACCAACTAAAGAAAAACATAGATTTATAACAGTAATCAAAGCATTACTAGCTGTTGCAAATGGTAAAGATTTTGATCTTGGTGCAAAATCAGGAGCTCTGAATATTATAAACAACTTACTGAAGTTTGAAACTATATTGACAGCGTATGTGTTCCAGTCACTGTTCGTTTTAAGTTCAACTGCATCATCTTGCTTACAGACGAAAAAATTAAATTATACCCAAGGATATAAACTGTTGCATAATTTAAAAGCAAAATTAATCGAAGGAGTTAATAATTTTGAAATTATTTTATAAGAACTACTGAATTTATTGAATATTTACAAACGATTTTGGAAAAAATGGATGGAACAGATAACATATTTTGGTCAAGTACTTTTATGAAAAAAAGAAAGCGTTTTAAAAAGAAAATGTCAGGTGAATTGACAGCAGACGAAAGACTAGTTGATGAAAATAAATTGTTTGAAGTTGAAGTTTATAAAGTTGTTTATAACAACGCTCTCGCTAAATTAAGCAATAGGTATGTTTTAGTATAATTATGTTTTGAAAATATTAGTTTTGTTAATTTTTTACTGTTATAGTTATAGCAATATTTTTTAGTAACATACTTCTTTTACTTGTTTAGGTATATGATCAACGAGGATCTAATTTAAGATGCTGCATTTTTTGATCCAAGAACATTTTCAAAATTAAAATCTCCCGGATTCATGTTTCCAGAAGGATCATTGTCCAAAATCGCATCCATGGCCAATGTCGATGTTTTAGATATTCAACGCCAGTTGATAGAATTTGCTCAAAATTACGAGGCCATAGCAAATATAGATGCTAGTATTCTGTATCAAGATTGTAACGATGAATTTTTCGAAGAAGAAAATGAAAACCACACAGATATGGAAGATGATTTAAAATGTGCATTATCCGAAAAAAATCGTTGTAAATCGTGTATTTCATGTGCATTCCTATATGTATACACATTAGTGACTCATACACCAAATTACAATGATTTATATACGGTATATAAGGTAATATTAAGTTTAGCTTTTACTCAAGTAAGTTGTGAAAGGAGTTTTTCAATACTTAAAACTATAAAAACTAGACTTAGGTCAACTCTTTCTAACCACAAATTAGAAGCATTCATGTTTATGAACCTTGAACGTGGCATGATTGTACCTCATGATATTATAATTGATCGATTATGTGCCACTTCCACTGAAATGAAAAGGATGCTGATTGGGTAATTTTTATACTTACAAGGATGTTCAGTTATATTTCATATTTAGTGTAAATAAATATATTATTATCAGAATTTATTGTACTTGTATATTTTATTTTTATTTGTTGCAATTATTTATTTAAGAATAATCATTATACTGACAAAAATATTTATAGATATGCATTAAATATTTGTTGTATGATGTGGTTCTTGCAAATCTTGTTTTGCTGTCTACATATAGCAGATAGTTCGTGGGCTAGGCCGTGGTACAGTAAAATCACAAACATTTGTAGCCAGTCTTTTAATATTATCATATGTATGTAAGGTAATAACTAATAAATAATCAACAATTATTGTGAGTGATAACTGATAAGCAAACATCATAATTAAATAGTAATTCGATAAAAAAAAAATTAACTTTATTATGTTTATTAATTTTCCGTAAGAAATGGCCCGAAGTATTAAAATCGCTGACTGGCCTGTTGCCTACCCAGTCCGCCCCTGATTCTAACAATAACTTGAAAAGCCTTTGCACGTTGAATTAATATCTTTTCAAAACTGTTTAATGACAATATAGTATCAGGTATTGATGGCGAATATAAATCATTAATTATATTGGTGGGTGGTATTTTTGACAACCGTAAAATTTTTAAACAATATTTGCAAATAAATTTATTTGGAAAGCCATAATGTAGAGACTAATTCTAAAAGATTATTCCAAATTTCATTATTGACAGAATTTTTTATATTCATTATTGTAATAACTTCTCTATGAAAACACAATTTATTACAACAGAAACACACGTATATGGGTAAGTCACTTGAATTTTTATTATAGGCACTAAAAGCTAGAGTGAACTTGTCAATTATATCATCTTCATTGTCAAAATTAAAATTATTTATGTAAAAACTATTTACATTTTGGATTGTGTAACTTTCTATAGTTTGTAATGTTTTTACATCTCTTGTGCAAAAAGCCTTGTCAATTTTTGAGATAATGTTTTGTTCTCTACGTTAATTATACACAAGTGTAACTATATTTCTTATACTTGGAAAATGTGTTCCTAGATTTCTTAAAAATAAAAAAGTAGAGCTACAGCTGAAATTCTGGTGACAAACTATTGAATGTTCTAACTTTGTAGACCTACTAAATTTGTTAGTACATAGATCAACATTTTTGGTCTTATTAGGGAATTGTTCTAGCTTCAAGCTTAAATGCAGTTTTAATATTTCTAAGAGTCTCGGTATAATGTAATAACATTGCAAATTACATACGGCACTATTACAGTGCCATGCAATTTCTGGACTATTAGCATTTATAAGAGGAAATAAATTAATAATTTGCCCTTTGTCATTTAATTCTAATTTTTCAGGATATGATTCAGGTAATACTTTATAAGCAGATTCAAAAAAGTATGGTTCAGTGTTTTTGCAGTGCTTTGACTGACCTAGTATAGAACACAATAAATCAAAACTTAACTGTTCATTTTTTGGCACAGCCACTGTATAGTTGATATTTGAAATATGCGTTTTTAAGAGTTTAGCATTTTTAGTATACGGTTTTAAACTGCTATTTCTTTGATTTAAAACCCATTTGATCATTTTTTCAATAATGGGTCTAGTTTTCCCGAGAGGAAGATTCAAATTGGGTATTAATTTATTAGTCCACTTTTCAAGTGAACCTTTAAATGCAAACAAGACATCATGCTTTTAACGTGTACCTGGTTGGGATTTATGAACAGCAGCTGCTCTATATATTTTTTGATAAGCGAGAGCTTCATCCCGACGATTTAAGTAGTTTTTTCGACGTTTATGTCTTATTTTGGTACCTATTCAGTTAATAACACAAAGTTAAAATAATAATACAACATTTTATGTATAACATACATAAAGTAATACACAATTAAAATGACGTGCGCGTATTTGAGGTTATAATACGGCAGTCAATAGAACATATAAATATATAATGCTGGACGTGCAAGACGGACGGCGGTCGACGCAAGAAAGTACAATATTGAATATATACGCGAGCCGTTACGTATTAACTGAAAACACCGCCGCCGCAAGCGCTGTGACAATGCACGCCCGTACGGTCAGTGCGTCTGTGTATCTCCTCAGTGGGCGGGGAACTTCATGCGGGCCGCAGGGAATATTATCGAATAACATTTTCTTTTTTACCATAAAAATTCATAATATATTTGGCTATAACTCCATTTATAATGTTCAGATCGGATTAAAAAGTGCAGCATTCTCTTCTACGGAACATTTCCAATAAGATTGGTGCATTGTCAAACTAAATTATTCTACAAGAAATTAGGTATGCATCATGCATGGACAACTATTTTTTTTTTTTTCGTAATTTCCGATGCTTCCTGTAATTATACCCGGCAGTTGTCGCGCGTTGTGATTGGCGATGCGTTCATTTTAAGGCGTCTTTTTTTTATACTTAGCGCGACCCTGCCGGGTCGTTGGATAAGCACGGTTGTCGCGAATTATTATACGTACTTTATTTTATTACGACGACTTCAGTGTTGTACTTTTATTTTAAACAATTTAATTAATTATGAATTCACAAGATTTTGTTAAAGCTGTAGGAGCAGCAAATAAATCAAGAGTAGATGTAAAAATTATGAATTATTTTTATTTTTATTTATGGATAGATTACAAATCACAAAAAAAACTTCATAAATCATCAAATCGTGTATTATTAAAAAATGTCGTTTCTACAAAAGCTGTTCGAAATAAATTTATTTTGTACACGAAATTTGGAACAAATCTACTTTACCAACCCCCTCACGATTTTCAAAATTTTTTTTTTCAAAAGACTTGTTTTTTATGCTTAAAACGATTGTGTAATTTTTTTTTCCCGGAAACTATTATTTTAGAAGTTATAGACTTCCAAAGTTTGCGATTTTACGCGATTTTACGCGCAACACTAATATAATGCCAAGCGGAGGACTATTTTAGTTATTTTTTTGTACTTACGTATTCTAACCTGTTTAAAACGATGGTACAATAGTAATTTATCCCCCGACTTGCTGTGCAACACCTCCCCAAGTGGGTCACAGGGTTGAGAAAATATCATTTTTGTTGCACCGAGGCACCAATTTGAAAAAACATCGTACAGTGATGCGGTGCTAGCGGCACTCGTCGCTACGCTCCTCGGCGCCGTCGCTCCGCTCCGCAAATCGAAAATATCCCCCGACTTGCTGTGCAACACCTCCCCAAGTGGGTCACAGGGTTAAGAAAATTGCATATATTTGCAAATAATTACTATAAATTTAAAATTAGTATCAAATATATTTAACATTTTTACAGTATTTATTTTAATTGGGCTAATATACCTAGTCTAATTAGGTACTCAACTATAGTTTATATTTCACCATAATAATGACGTGATTCACAATATTACTTACCCAAGACTGACTATGTCCCAAAACTTGTTAAAATACGTAAAAAAAAAATTTGTTATAGGCGCGCGTGGCAGTCAAGTAGCGTTGCGCGCATGCGCATAAACGGAAAATCGTAAATTTGGAAGGCTATAACTTCTAAAATAATAGTTTCCGGGAAAAAAAAATTACACCATCGTTTTAAGCATAAAAAAACAAGTCTTTTGAAAAAAAAAATTTTGAAAATCGTGAGGGGGTTGGTAAAGTAGATTTTAGCCCGAAATTTAATTTTGAAGAAGAATATGCAGAGCTTGATTTTTTAAAGAATAGTGTTATGAAAGTACTAAATCTAATAGACTAACAAATAATAAAGGTATAATAAAATGAAAAATACAAAACTGCATTTTTCTCAAAACCAATAATTTGGTTTTTACGGCACTGTTGCTTATCAGGGCACTCGGCAGTATAGCAGTAATTATTAATTAGTAATATAATAATAAAAACATAAATTGCATTATTGCAATAAATAAATATAATGTAAAAAAGTACAGAAAAAATGGAATAGATAAACAAATAAATACTCTACATTATTCAATATATACACCGGTAACCGGTGTCACCGGCGATTTGTACCCCCGAGAATTTTTACCGGGGGGGTAAAAATCGCCCGATTTAAAAATCGCCTGGCGTAACAGGCGATTTTTAGCCACCTTCGAATTTTTAACGGGGGGGTAAAACTCGCCTACACATTTTTCTAAGATGCAAGAGTTTTTTATCGCATCCACTAATGCAACAGTGTTATGATTTTTGTCCATATAATGTTTTATAATATGCAAATGTCCACTTAATGGTATTAGTAAAACCTTTTACCCTTATTAATTAATATTTTTCTCTATATAACTTAAAAGTTATAACCTACCTATTCAAATAAATGTTTTTAAACAAAATTAATTATTTGTTTAATTTATCTACAGTCTACACAACTATTAAAGTCAAACTACCATTTTGTTTTGTTATTAATAATAGGTTTTACAAAATAGTAAATACTTAACGTCTTAACATAATTTCATAATAACCAGCATGAAATATTTATGTTTAATATTATTATAATAAATGTATACTAGTTATACTACCGATATAATAATTTGCTTTTCGGAGTTTCTATTTTTGGACGTATTACGTATTTGTGTTTATGAAAAATGAAAACAAGATGTATACATAATATATTTTTGAACGTTTCTATTAAGCTAAACATCTATTTTTGAATCCACAATTCAGCTATAATGTATTGTTATTATTGATATTTGGTATTTACATATAAATTTTATATTTTTATCATTATTTATCCTTAAAATTATTTTATTCGAACATTTTATAATCACTCCTAGCTTTACTGTTGTACAACATGGTTGTTCCATAATATGAATTGATTTATGATATTTTATACCCAACTTTTTTATTCAAAGTACCTGTATTGCTGGTTTATTCAATTTGTGTTTATTATTTTTTTAATTGATTTTGAGAAAAGACGTACTTACAAAAGAAGGTAAGTAATTTGTAAAAGTATTTAAGTATTTTTTGAGCTTTAATAATAACTATAATTTTTAAATTAATTTTGTATTTTGTATTTAGGTTTGTATACTGTACCTTGATACCTATCTACTTTATTTTAAAATATAATTATCATATTTAGAATAATTGTGCTGTTATATTGTGTCGTAACTTCGTAAGTATATTTTCTATGAATTAAAATATAATATATTTAATTTATATTCATATTGTAGTAATAATAGTAAATAATATCCTATCAGAGTTTTATATGCATTGAAACGTAATACTTAGCCACTTAACTAGGTACATGATATTAAATGACAACACGTCAAATCTATATTTTATATATAATAATAATATATTACCTACATTGGATAAATTATTATTAATAGATCAATATTTTCTAATTGCAACGTGACCACGTCATGGTACTGCATGACATTTTTTTTTTGCTAAAAAAATTATATTTTATATAGTTCCATTCAATAATTATAGGAAAAATCATAAAAAAAAAAAATATTTTTTTTTTCCCGGTAAAACTAAGGGTTTAAGTGTATAATGCATATATGCACTTGCATGCAGTTACGATGCCTAATCGAAACCCGGTTGAATTACCTACATTTTCTTGTGAATGATACTATGATACTATGGTACTATGATAAATATAAATATTATAACACAACGACAATATAATTATGATACTAATAATAGTTTATTTTACTTCTTATTACATATAACTAATTTTTTACATAGGTATACTTTGAATTTTTAATTTTTATGTTACCTAACTAAGAACAATGAAAATCAACAAAACAGTTTCTATCGTTATTGTAACATAAATATACACAACATTTGGAACATTTTGTGAACGACTGAAATTTGCATTTTGGCATTTTGCATACCCGTCTTTGCTGTTCATAGTTTGGCCAATGTTCTAGACAATCTCTTCTTATCTCGTTAAACGGCGCAGATGGTGTTTGTGTTCGTTTTTTTTTAATATTTTCTTGTATTTCGAATGAACCTGAGGGCCTGCCTTTTCCTCGTTTGGCGATTCCACTTTGCATAAGAGTTACAGATAAATGTTCTCGGAACTTGGCCAATGGCATTGTGTTGCCCGTAATTTTTTTGTACATTAGCCATGAATTCACGACTGTCATATCTAATAAGTGATAAAATATTTTTATGTACCATTTTTTTGATCTCATTATTATTCTGTACCGTCCTATCAATGAATCCATCAGATCAACACCGCCCATGTGCTTATTATAGACTTCGATAATTTTTGGTATCTCAACGTCTACATTTTTTTTTTGTTTTTTATCGTATCTACGTACTTTGGTTGGTTCGAGGGCGCCAATGTAAGTGGAGGTAACATTTACAATTTTATTGTCTTTCCACGACACTGTTGTAATTGGTACACCATCAACTACTGTTAAACATTCATCATATGTTCCTCGAGGTTTTTTAAGCATTTCTTTTTCAGGCATAAGCGCTATATCGGGAAATCTATTCCTCCTAAACGTCCCTACTGTGTGTTTACCTAATTTTTCTAAATACACCATAACTGGAATTGACGTATAATAATTGTCGAAGTATAGTTTATGGTGTTCATTTCTCGGTATCACTCTCGAAAGTCTAACTACGACATTACCTGTTGCACCTAAGTCAGGTTCAAGCATTTGCTGGCGTTCTAGAGAATTGTTTTCGTTACCTGTGTAAATTTCAAAATTGTAGGCGTAACCTTTTACTCCACAGAGAACAAATAATTTATAACCCCATTTATGAGGTTTAAGGGGTAAATATTGCTTCATATACGAACGCGCCTTTGTTGGGCACAACTGTTCATCTAGTGCTAGAAATTCGTCAAAAGGCACAGAAGAAAATTTTGCTTTTAGTAATTCAACAATCGGACGGATTTTGAACAGTCTATCACGGTCTTCGGGAGGTCTAAATTATTATTATTGAAATGTAGAAATCTTTTTATTCTTTCGAAATGATTTACGCTCATGCAGTTCTTTATAGGCATATTTCCTAAATTATCTGACCAATATGATCTCGAGTTTGGAACATGGTCAACGGACATCATAATAAGTATTCCAAGAAATCTTTGTAATTCAGTTTTTGAAAGGATAATTGGCTTTGAAGGGTCAACTTGCGTGCTGTACAATTCTGTTTGCTCAGTTATTATTGATAATAGACAGTCATCGAAAAAATAATTAAAAAAATCTTTAGGCGTTTCTAAATTTTTTAGTTCATGTGGCATTGGAAATTCAGTTTTAAATTTTATAACAGACTCATTTTGTGTAAATTACCTTTTATCCATGTTGGTCGAACAACTCTTTTTTAGTAGGTAAAATTGGATTTTTTACCTGTTTTTTAGCAGCATTTTTATCACAGCGAGTAATCCTTGTACGTTGAACGCGCATTATATTTGTAGATGTTTGTACAAAATTTACAATTTGCGACGACGGCGGTAATGGTGAAGTTTGAACTTGTACAGGACTTGTACCGGAAGTTGATTGATCGGAAACATTTTCATTTTCAACTAAAAAATATTCTGGAAGTGTAAAAACATCATTGTCTTCTTCTCTAACACGCACAACAACACGGTCTTCACGAGGAGTTACAGTTTCCTATAAAAATTATGATTGCAAAAATGTGCGGTACAATATAAAATGTATATTTATTATTTACCTCATTTATATCTTCATCGTCACTTAGGTCAAAACCATCTGCATACTCGTCTTCACTTTCAATTGGTATATTTAAAAAAGTTTCGATTTCATAGTCGTTAAGAGCCATATTAAAAAAAAATTTAAAAACCGCACAACAGTTACATACAATATTGTAAAAACAGACAACAGTAATATAAAATAATATGGTCGCAAGTAACAAAAGTTGCTGATACTACTAGCCAGTCAGGACCATTACTGCATAGTAATGCAAATATCCCCGTCAAATATAAGTGATTATAATATATTGTTGACATGAAATACATTGTTTGTTTATGAAATGCCTCAATTACCATATGTCATAATATCTAAATATAATTTTTCCGATAAGCCGATACTATTTTTAACCGTGTAACAACACGTTCAACATTGGATGATGGAGCATAAAAAAATGGATAAAAAAAAAATACTTTTAAAATTAATTTAAAATATGTGCTGCCATCTACCGTTCAAATTTTAGGAAAAACTAATTTTTAACTGGTTTAAGCAAATGACCGCCAGGTTTTCATTAGCTTTAATCGAATATACCTTAGATACATAACCATCTAATGTTATAATGCATATATGCCCTTGTATGCAGTGTAGGGTTAAATATTTCAAAAAATAAGAAGCTCGTAAGGCTAGGTAATGAAACATTATTTTCTTATTATTAATTCTACTGTATGATTAGAATTCTGAAACAAATCCAACGACACAATTGCTATTTAAGTAAAAAAAAAAATAAGTCTTAGCACACGACCGTGTATATATACTATCATTCAAAAACCTAAACATTCCCATTTAATATGTGTTAATATTTTTGTATTATTTATTAAAGGCTACAGGTCTAATAAATGGACCAAATCGTTAGAATGAGGTATCAATTGTATTAATAAATAATATTATTATAAACGCGCTATGGAGACGGCAATAATAAATATAATATATATAAAATTTATAAAAACTAATAATATACCAACAAAAACAATATGTAAACTCCATGTAAAAAAAAAATTAATTAAATTTAATCCGTTGTTGGGTGCACGGGATAAACAATTAACCCAGACCTATTAATACCCCTAACAACACAATTTCATTTCATTTTTGTAACTGTATCGTAACTTGGTTTTATGAATCACGATATGTTTTTATACATATCATTTATATGTCTGCTATATTTCGTTTAAATTTCTATGTCCGTTTTTACCTAACAAATGTCACATAACAATGTTATATAATGTTGCATTTAGAATAGGAATAATTGTTATGTTTATATAACAAATCATAGATGTTTCTGATACATATACTTTTACATATCATTTATGTAAATAGTATATGAATATTTCATAAAACTGTAACATATCTGTTATAAATAGTTTTATTATAAAATAAGTGGTCATACCACTTAATATATAATATAATAATATAATATATTATGTTGAATATAGATTATAATATATATGTTATTATTATAATTATATACGCACTTTAGTGAGCTGCAATTTATTATAATAATTCATTATAATAATATGATACATATCATTATTATTTTGGAATTTTTCTTTTTTTTACTATTGTATTTTATACCCTTTTAATATATAATAGTATATACATAAATCTACTCATTCATAGGTGCGTGTGAAAGGGTATATATTATGTATAGCTGTATAGCCACGCCGGAGGCTGCTTTTTTTGTATAGGTACTATCACTATAGTACTTATAGGTAAAAAGAACTAATAATTAACTTTTTTGGAAAATCAAAAATTAATTTTATCAATTCGATTACAAAAATTGTCGTGACTGGGGCTATATACCTATGTTTTGTATGTCTATTTTTTTTTAAGGAGGGTTTTGTCTAAGGGGGTGGGTGGTCAAAAAAATAAAGCCATATGCCTGGAACAGCTAGAAGGATGCCCACACTTATGATCTCATAAAAAAAAAAAAATTAGCAAAATCCTTTAGTATATTTAAACAAAAAATCAAAAAAAAAAAAAAATATTATATAATTATTATGGATAGTAAGGTGTTATATAGGTTATATACTTATTAATACAAAATATATTATAGTATGTTTATCCGTTTTCATATCCCATTAAAAAAAGAAAAAAACAAATTATATAAGTATAATAATAGTATTATATATAACAATGAGATTCATTAATAGTTATTAATACAATACACCTATATAATTGAAATATTAAAAATATTGAAATATTATTATTTTTTATGTTAAGCCCTTTTAACATATTAGTTATAAGATCTCATTAATAAAATAAAAAATAAGATACTTTAGTATTAAACAAATATTAATAAAAAAAATAAAAAATTTTACAAGTAATAAATATTATGTATATGTATAGCGAAATAAAATACCTATCTAAAATATACCTAATTAGTATACATTAATAAAATTTAATTATCTGCTACATGGCAAAACCGTTAAAAATAGAAAAAAATGATTTTATAATGAACTGTAAAAATATTATATTTTATATCAAATTATATTTTATATCAAATTATATTTTTGACCAGAAGAAATCCTTTGTTTAAAAAGGTGAAGTACTTAAACTGTATATTTTTGTGTCTTATTATTTTTCCTGAAACAAAAAAAAAATGTATTAATTAAATATGTTAAAACAATAATAAATGATTATATACTATGAACAAAGTATACACTTATTATATACTAGCTGTATTATAATAATATATACATATAAATATTTATATACATTATTATGATTATTTCCAAAAACAAACAACTTTATGGTTGTTAATAGGTTAGGTATATTATGTATAGTGATATTTATTATAATTTTAATTCAATAATATTTACTCTTGTTCTCTAGATGCTCTTAATGGTGCTTGAACTAGCCATTTAATAACAACTTGTGCCACTTCTTTGTTTGTGATATTGGGATTTTTGTATCGCGAAAGAGCTATTAATATTATTATAATCAATATTGTTAGTGTAAAATATTATTAACATAATTTATGGATTAATATATGCTTTCATAAAGAATGAAAAATATAACTCACCCAAAATCACTTTAAAAAAGTTTGGAAGATCTTTTTCAAATGCGTTTTTTGATCTTTTCTCCTGCCAACTATGTGAAGCAAGCGTATTTGACATAGTGTAAGCCAAAGCATTTATGATTATGTTTTGAAAATTAAGTCCACCTAATTTTTTCAAATCTTCAAGCTGGAAAATATTTTATTATTCAATTAGAAATGATTTAGGTATAATGTAGAAATTCATAATTTTGTATAATAATACATATTATTATGATATAGTACCGATATACCACATATTATACTATGCAGTAATTGTTTTTATATCAATCAAAATATTTTAAGAACTTTTAATTTCATATACTTAATATGTTGATTTATATCTAATACATTGAATAAATAGTTACATAAAACAATTAACCTACATTTATTAAAAAATATGTTGATAAGAAAAAAAAATCTGTTTATTGTATAATATTTTATATTACTAATTAATAACTATATACTATATAGTTATAGTATTATATATATTTATATATATTATATATTATTATTATACTATTTACTATATACTTCATGTTGATAGCAACATGAAGTATGAATTATCTGTTAATAATTTGTTCTCAATTTCTTTTAAACGTTCCTCAGTGTTTATGGGTAGGTCTTCTTCAAATGGTCCAACAAAAACATGATTAACTTCTTCAGTTCCAGAGGTTCTTAATAAATTATTCTTATTAGTCAATCCAATAATGAATTGCTTTAATTCAAAAATTTCGTCCCGCATTAATTCAATTTTAGTGCTCAATTTTGATATAACTTTATATACTTCCTTTGAATTTAATTCTAAAATAAACGAATATAATATTCATTATACAACAATATAATAAATACAAATTATGATTTTACTTCACACAATTTATTTAAACTGCTGACTTAAGAAGACATGTTATCCGTATGTGTTGTCCCCATCTTACAAGTGTACAACATAGCCAAATACTGTTTTGTGCGTAACAACTTTACTCTCTGTGTATTTATAGCAGAATTACCAAAATTCCACAACGCACAGGGAAGAACTTTGTGACGTACCATTTTAATTTAGTGACTAACACTAACAAAATATTTTTACTATTTAAATAAAAAAATAAAAAAACCTTATTTTCTCAATCTTTAATTGTTTTTATGTAATCCAAAAAATAAAAAAAGCTACGTCACAGACAGTGTTCTTCCCTATGTGTTGTTGAATTTTGGTAATTCTACTATAAATACAGAGGGAGTAAAGTTGTTACGCACAAAACAGTTTTTGGCTATGTTGTGAATTTGTAAGACGGAGACAACACGTCATGCGGGTAGCACATCCTCTTAAAGATAGTATATGCTAATTATTTTTATTTTTTATTTATATAATTATTGGCCCCCTAATTATAACGATTTATAGTGTAGTCTTACATATATGATAAATGGAATACAACATATAATGTAAAAATATGATATACTGAATTAGTATAACTATATTATCATTGTTATCATTGTGCAGACACGCAGTGAGGTTGTATTTCTCTTGATATTGTTATTTTCGTTACGGTTTTCTCTAATTAAATACAATTTTAATTCATGGCTATGACATCTAATAATGTTCAAAATTGTTCATCGTGTTCAGTTTTGTTTGCCGAACTTGATACACCTGTAAAATACTTTAGTGAATCCTGTAATAATGGATTACGCGACATTCCAGATTAAAAATGCTAATAAACCGATTGCTTAGTGAAGTTAACGAACTTAAAAATCAAAAAAATAATGGTAATAATATTTCATATTATTCTGAAGAGTTCATCATTAATGAGATCGGCGATCGTAATATGAGAGCCTCAAATCTAATATTATACAATGTTCCAGAGTCCAACTCAGATAACACCGCCGACAGAAAAAACACCGCCGACTCTAATGTTGTAAGTAATCTTATTGATTCAATTATTATTGGTGATAAAAATATTAAACCGGTAAAATTATTACGTTTGGGTATTCGTGTTCATGATAAAACTCGTCCAATTAAAGCGATATTTAGTTCATCAAAGTCTTTAGTCTTTGAAATACTGAAATCTAAGAAAAAATTATTATCACTTAATCCACCTTCCAATATTGGTATCAGCTTGGACCGTACGTTGTATCAAAGAAACTACATGAAAAAACTTCGTGAAGAGCTGGAGTCCCGAAGATCAAGTGATGGTGGTAACGAATTAATTATCAGATACGTAAGAGGTACTCCAACAATAGTTTCCAGAAATGACCGTCCTAATACTCGTGGAAAAAATTTTTTTTAATAAATATGTTTTATCAAAATGTACGCGGTCTACTAACCAAAATCCCATATTTAAGAAATGCTTTACTTAATGTTAATTATGATATTATTTGTTTAAATGAAACTTGGTTAAATACTAACGTTTTTGATGCTGAACTAGGTTTTAATAACTATAATTTGTACAGAAATGATCGTATTTTAAGTCTTGGAAAAAGTAGAGGTGGTGGTCTATTAATTGCTGTAAATAAAAATATCATCTGTGAATTATTAATTTTTCCTTCTGTTTTTGGAATCGAGCAAATATTTTTAAATCTTACAGTTAACAATATAAAAATTATTATAGGTTGCGTTTATATACCTCTAGGTACATTCTCTGATATCTATTCAAATCATTGTGATATAGTTGAGTCTATCTTTTTTAGATTTCCTGAACACTATTTTGTAATAGTTGGTGATTTTAATTTAAGTAGTTTCGACTGGTCTGTTGATCCAAACATTCAAAATCATAGGTCTGGTGGCATCATATTTAATAGTTATATAAATTTCTTGAACCTTGAACAATGTAATATTATTAAAAATTGTGAATTATTTCTAATTGTTATTCGGTTGACTCTCTGGTACATACAATTGATAAATATCATCCTCCTTTAGACGTGGTCATTAAATTTAAAAATTCCTATATGAGTGACCATTATGAGTCACCATATATTTTAAATTTTAAAAAATGTAATTTTAATGAGATCTCTCATTTTCTTTCCAGTATTGATTTCAATCTAAATCTTAACAAAAATCTGTCTCTCGACGCCTTAGTCGATACTTTTTACGAAATTATTTATCACACATTCAGTTTGTTTGTTCCAAAAACTAAAATTTATAATAGTTATTCCCCTGCATGGGCAAATGCTGAGCTCAGAAATCTGATAATTAAAAAAAAGTGTGCCCATAAAAAATATAAACTTAGTACTTCTTTTGCCAATTATATGGAATTTTCTGAGCTTCGGAAAAAATGTAAGAAATTGAATCAAATTTCTCACGATCAATACATTTCAGATTCGGAAAATAGTTTGCAAATAAACATTAAACCTTTTTGGAATTATGTAAATTCTCTGAAGAAAACGAAAAATAATGTCCCGGACTGTATGAATTATAATAATGTGACATCAACTAATATCTCTGAAACTGTCAAGTTATTTGCAGATTATTTTTCCAGTGTTTATGTAAGCAGCTCTTTGAATTCTAATGAGGTTGTAACGTTATCTACTCTTTCTTCTAACGATAATCATATTAATTTAAGCTCTTGGTCTATTGATACGGATGAGATTTATGAATATTTAACTTCTTTAGATCCGCATACAGGGACAGGACCCGATGGTATACCGCAGCATTTTTAAAAAATTGTAGTTCTGTACTTGTTAAACCACTGCATTTTATTTTCAACAAATCACTGAATCTGGGCTATTTTCCGGATTCTTGGAAAAAATCGTTTGTGACCCAAATTCATAAGGCAGGGGATAGACAAAATATAGCTAATTACAGACCAATTTCCAAATTATCCATTATTCCCAAAATATTTGAAGCTATAATAACTAAAAAACTTTCCATAATTGTCTCTCCTCTTATTTGCAAAAACCAACATGGTTTCAGACCTAATATGTCAATCTCCACTAACATCCTACTTTATCAATCCAAAATACTTAAAGCCTTAAATAATCGTGCTCAGTTAGATTCAATCTATACTGACTTTCAGAAAGCTTTCGATAAGGTTAATCATCACCTACTTCTTAAAAAAATATCTACATTCGGTATTCATGGACATTTTTTAAATTGGTTATTGTCCTATATTTTAAACTGTCGAACTCAGGCGGTTAAAGTATCAAATAGTATCTCTCCTTACTTCCCAGTTAGTTCTGGGGTACCACAAGGTTCCCATTTAGGACCTCTTTTATTCATAATGTTCATTAATGATTTACCCTCTATTTTTGATAACACGGTCGATATACTGCTATTTGCTGATGATGCAAAAATTTTCTCTACAATTTATTCTCCTTCAGATGCTTTAAATTTGCAAGCTAACTTGGATAAATTTGTAATATGGACTCACCAAAATAGTTTATCTCTAAATATAAACAAATGTAATGTTATTACCTTTTCACGCATCGATAATCCTATTAGCTTTGATTACAAAATTGATAATTGTTCCGTTACAAGAGCGACTTCTATTAGAGATTTAGGGATTATTATTGATTGCAATTTTTCTTTCACCACCCACATTAATACTATTACTAAGAAATCTTTTAAGATGCTTGGCTTTATCAACCGAAACACAGTTAATTTTAAAAATATAAATGCCTTGAAAATATTATTTTCTGCGCTTGTTAGATCTCATCTTGAGTTTGGATCAATAGTCTGGTCACCTAGTTACATCACTTTTATTAATACAATTGAAAATGTACAACTTAAATTCTTAAAGTTATTATGTTACAAATTAAATATTCCACTTATTTCAAAGAACTCATACAATATGCGAATGAGTGAGTTGAGCTTTATATCTTGTGAAGTAAGAAGAAAGGTTGCTGATATTATGTTTATATATGATTTGTTAAATGGTCACATTTTTTCCCCAGATTTGCTATCAATGATATCATTTAATATAGCGAATCACTGTTTAAGAAAATCAAACTTATTTCATGTTCCATTTTATAATAACAATTACAGCTCCACTTCTTACTTTCCAAGAGCATTGGAACTAGCAAATCTTATTGTTGATCATGTAGATTTTTTCTTCATGTCTCGTAATGTTTTCAAAAAAAATGTATATTTAGTCTTAAACGATGTTGTAAATTAAGTAATTTTCTATCATTGTACTATTATTGATTTAGTGTTGTATCCTATTGTATTATTATTGTTTCATTATTTAAACTCGTCTAATTATTATTTTATATTGTCAGCTCGTTATTACTATTATTGTTTTAAATCGAGTCGTTTATTATTAATTGTAAAATACTTAAATGTTAAACCTGTACTGTATTGTTTACACAAAAGGGTCTTTACCCGTTTATTATACAAAATAAAATAAAATAAAAAATATGTCTTATATTGTATAAGTTATCCCAAATTCATACTAATTGTCTAGGTACCTTTATTTCCTACTGCATCTTTTTTTATCAATTGTATTGGTAGAATTGATAGGTGTTGCATAATTCTTGTAAGTGTCATCTATTATTTAACAAATACATTTAAGATTATTTAATGACTTAAATAATTTAAACTACTACGTCCTACATACGACATACCATAATTTCTTTTAGGCTGATGAGCTGTTGTAGGTGCGAGAATAATATTAGTATCATCAAATAACACTGGCATCGGCGAATCCGCTAAAACATAATGTTAGACATTACATTTATATTATTTACTAAATTATAAATTATAATAAATAATGTACAAAAAAATATAACTACATAATAATATGAGTTGTACACATTTTACTCACTGTTATATTCTAGTAAACTCTGCATGATTTCATCGTCAACTGTAGGGAATGATGGGTATTTGGATATTGTAGCTTCGTTATCTGCAGCTGCCTCATTACTACTAGGACGTTCGGTCACTTGGTTATTACTTCTGATCATTTCATTGTCATATTCTTCATCATTAGATTCATAAAATAATTGTTTTTTAGCACGTGATTGTCTTTTGTGTCTTTTAATTTTTGTAGTTGTTTCATTAGAGCTGTCAATATCAGAATATCTCTGTGCTAGTTTTAATTTGTACATTCCCTCTTCATATGTTGCTAGAAAATAGTAGAATTGTATTTAATTGTAATAAAATATTTTTTTATTATTTATACATACCAGATCTACTCATAACTCTTTTGATAGGATATAAAGACCACGATGGATCATTTTGTTTAGGAACAATGTGTCAAACCATCATTTTCTGCAATACACTTTCTTTCTTAACATGTGGCCAGTAACAATTCAATTTAGTAGTATCCACCCAACATGATGAAACAAGATGAATTCCATCATCAAATTCAACTACAGAGAATTCCATTATTGAATAACTGTAGTACAATAAAAGCATATTATCTATTGTTAAGCAAAGTTCTATTATTTGCAGATGACATTAAAATTTTCTGTAAAATAGACCCTCCTTCGGGCTGACTATTATTGCAAGCTGACCTGATGCAATGTCTTCTTCGTTTGGACCTAGCGTGTTAATACTTATTACTCAACATAGACAATTAATGTCACTCAATAACTTTCTCTAGGAAACATTGTCCCACGCACTTCACTCATATTCTCTTGGGAGATCCCCACTTCAAAGTGTTGATGTTATTATAATTTATAAATAAATAGACTTTTATCTAACATCCACCAAAATCACTTTTCTTGTCTAAGGCAATCTTTTTATTAAAATTGAGCATCCACCACATGACAACACCATAATCTGCCCTAAATATATAATCTCTATCTTCATGCCGCGATGCAGTGGAGTGTGGTCTATGATGTTCATCACCTCAAATCTTAATGGAACTATCGATACAGTACCCGATCTATCATCTCTTCACATTCCCTGCTCCCAGTTAGGACAAGACACTATTCTCTTTTTTCTATTCCCACCCATCTCACATCCTATTTTCATAACCAGCCTCTTCATAGAATGTTGCACCTGCTTAACCAATCTTAGTCTAGCTACTTTTATATTTCTGCTTAATATATATTCTCTTTAAGTAAAAAAAAAAAAAAACTGTATTGTATCCACTACTGTAATATCATAACCAATGCCCTTTGGGGGCTTATAATTATCAAATAAATATTAATAAGTATGTTAACCTCACATTTTATATTTTAAGTTTATTATATTCAAATCTTATTACACTACATATTATAATAAATACCTAATATACATGATATTATGTAATTATACATATTATGTTAAACTAATATTATGGTAACCTATAATTATTTATAATATTCATGCACATGTAATTAAACTACTAATTGATTCTGAATATGTACCTAATAGTCCAGTCGATTTCCACATTTTACCTGGAAAGTATTCCGAAGTGAATGGAATTTTTACAGATTATCTAGGGATACTCTAGGATGTCTATGCTAAGTTTTCGACCTCTAGGACCTTGTGCTAACTTAGGGGGGAGGGGGTGCAAAAAGCTTAAAACTTTCAGTCTTTTTTCAGTTTTTTGCTTATATCTAGTAAACTAATCATATTTTGTGTTCCATAAAGCATAACAAAGTTGTACAACACTAAATTTGCTAAAATTTGGTAGGTTAGACAATTTATTTCGTAAAAAATTAACTGAGAGACACCTGATCAAAGTTATACATAGTTTCTCAAAACATAAAAAAAAACAGCTGAAAAACGAAGGTTTTGATTCTAAAACTATATTTAATACCATCATTTCCATGTTAATTTAGTCAATCACTCATCAATATCAACATCTAATTTAAAATAATATTTAATACATATAGTGCATCAGGGCACTATAACCTTGGATCGCTTAGGATCTGTCGGACCTTCGTCTTCGTTGTCGTCGTCATCGTAGTCGGTGCCATGGACACGACTTTCTCGTGCACCTTCGGTGCAGAAAGAAGGGGCTGGTCACTGCGATCCTCGTCATCGGTGTCAGCTTCGTTGGTATCAGGTTGAGATGAGTTTTCACACGCTATGCCCACGCAGCGTTTGCATACCGCAGAGCATAATAGTCCAGCCTTTTTACAGCTGCAGCCTGCAGTAGCACAACCGGCCGTGCACTTACAGCTAATTATGCGGAGTAGCTGTTCCGGAGCCGCATCCATTGTTGTGGTGATGGGAACGACACCTATAAACAAATGAATCAGTTAATTAATATACGTGTATTGATCATTATTACAAGTATTAATAGTAGTTTAATTCGTGTGGCAAGTTTTAAGAATTAAAATGTACTATTACAGTATGAAAAAGTTATTGTTTAAGTCTATAAAAATACCCACCTCGTTTTGTATGTTTCCAACCCCATGCAGAAGGCAACTTTTGATGGCTAACTTGGCTTCCCATCCACGCCTGGACTTGCAAGTACGTCCTGAAAGAGTGGTATTTAGCGGCATCTCTGGTTGGTGGCAATCTGGCAAGTTGACATTTTGGTTTTGCCACGACTGAAGAAAAAATGCGATACCTCAGGTCTTCTAGGTTGTCCAGTTCAATGGTTCCTCCATATAGTTTTACAAGGAACTTTTCTCCAACGTCAGCAATTTGAGCTTGAGTTGCCTCGGGGTCTTTAAAAATTACCAACATCTCTGAAAAACTAGGGATCTTCTTATATATCTGCATCACCTTCTTTTTCCCTATACCAAAGGGTGCTGAGGTAGTATCACACCCACTTATCGCATTCAAGAAAATAATATCTTGTGATTCGTACTTAAAAGAGTGGGCTGAATACAGCATGGTTTTACTGTGACCTTTTCCACTCTTCTGGAAATAGACATTCATTTTAGAAGAACCCATAGCAGTGAGTAGCACCAAAAGATCTATGTCTTCCCCTGTTATGATTACACTATCATATTTATCAGCAACTGTAAGAGCAGTCTCCACGATCATTACATCGGCGTCTTCTACTGCCTGCTTCACTTGTATCCCTTTGGCTTCCATTTCACTCTTCAACATTATTATGAAGTTAATGTTGTTTGCATCATTAGAAAACAATTTTGCCTGCGAAATAGTGCTGATCAAAGTTGTCTTGGAAAAAAAATGTTTTGTTGAGGCGTGTAGCAACGAACGCCAATAACGTTCAGCTGATTTGGTGCTTTCGTAACTAATTCCAACAGGATAACCATCAAAAACCACTATGGCATTATTCCCAAAGTGCTTTTGAACGTAGTCCACGTAGTTTTGGCAGACTACCATCAATGACATTACATATTCTGGTTAGGGTTAATTAAAATTGATATAGCTACATGTAATACAATAAAGTTATTATATATATCTGGTTTTAAAATCGATTTCAATACCACTGGACCAATATACAAAATAAATTGTCGGTACTCTGTTGCTTTCCAATGTCTGTATTCTGTTAATCCTCTTGGCTTTCTTGCAAAATCATTTGGTGTACACTTTTGTATTTCCATTAAGTTAACAGATATACGTTTGACTACAGATAATGGTATCCGCACTGTAAGTGGCCCCTCAAGCCATAAAGTTACCAATTTTTTTTACAACTCCAATGCAAACAAGGTGCATGTAATCAAGAGGGGTACCCGAAATTAAACCAAAATTTGGCACACTGTTTAGAATTGATACACCATTCTGACAGTCTTTGTAATAATTTTCACCAAACAATGTGTCACATTTCAGAATAAACTCATCTTCTTCGTTTGGTGATGGAAAACAAACTGTACCATGAATACCATTAGTTCTTATGTATGTACCAGTAATTATACATTTTGAGCAGCTATTATATCCGTTGTTTGACTTAAAAAGAAGTACAAATGATTTTGCCGGTACATCGCATATTAAAGCTACTAAGTTAACACAAATTACTTCTCCTTCTGATGTAGTTAGTCCTTCATTAACTAGTGGGATTAATTCAGAAATGAACTCTTCCAGAAATTCATTTAAAGACTTTGGTTTTTCATATCCATGGAAAATACCAACTACAAAAACTGTATTAGTTAAACGAAGATCAGAGCACATAATTGGCCGAAAACTACTTTTATTGGATATTTATAAGGGTAAACCATCAATGTTTATAATTAGGTCAATTTTTTTAACAATATGTATTTTTTGTTTTAATTCTACTACTATATGGTTTAAAGCCTTAACCAGTCCAAAGTGACAATAGTTTCCACCTTCGATTGGTTTGACATTAATTACTCTTCTCTGTGTACCTAATAATGTCCTAGCATCGTTGGGTAAATCGAAATTTGTGAATTTATTCCAAATTTTTAACATTAAAATTAACATAGCTTGAGTAGTATTGTTTTCAAAATGCCATTTTAACAAGTCTTTCTTTAATAAATTACTGTCATCTTTATTATTATTATTACTCAAATGTAAATCATTTGGATCAGTCTCTTTATTACAATCGTTATCATCATCACTGCTACCTGAACCAGAAAAGCTATCTACAGGACTATCAAAATCTGAAGTTAGTGCTAGATTTGATGATGAAGAGTTACAAGCTGACCCTGATGAAGATGGTTTGGCATGATCATCATTATTTGGTAAAATTGGGGATTCAACTTGAGTAATTATATTGTAATTAACTGCAGCACTTGAAACGCATATTATTGATTGGTTGTCTGTATTATTTAGTTTACCAAGGTTATTAATATTAGTATCATGATTATTATATGATGTAAGTGTTAGTGAGATTCATCATGAGATTCAGTTAGAGATGAGTCATCTGTACTATGAATGTTAATAGTATAATTTGATTGATTCACTCTTCGTATATGTCTTTTAGAACACTGAGTTAACAATTTGCGGCGTTTGTTAAAATGGTCCATTATATATTATATATATCTTTATTATTATTATTATTATCTATAAGTAATAAATATTAAATATATTATACCTATTATAATATATTACCTATATTATAAAGAGTTAAAGACGTATTACCAAACCCTGCAGTATAATATAATAATAAGTTTATTATTATTTATTAAATATATATACGTACCTTATCCGACTATATTATCTGTCGCGTGCAGACTTCAGCACGTCTTGTAAATAGTGGTTGGTATAAGTTATTACAAAATAATATACAAGTATAGGTACAAATAAATGGAGTAAAAATGAAATTGCAAATTGCAATTTTTAATGGTATTTACGTAATAACGTGTTAACTGACAAATGACAATTAGGTATTAAATAATTAATAACTATAATATCATTGAATATTATCATTATTTTGAAATCATCACTGATTAAGATATACTATTATATCTATATATTAGTCGCCGTGATTATAGACTATTTATCAATATCTAAATATATTTCCGAAATGTATAGATACGTAACATTCTCAATATAGGTATATAACGGATTTATAATGATATATATATATCGCACGATATCAAATTTTCGGTTACGACCTATCAGGTATATTTATGTTTCAATAATAATGTTATATAACATGTACGATGTATCGGATATATTTATGTTTTAATACTAATGTTAAATAACATTTATAACATATCGGATATATACATGAAGTACATTTAATGTTTTATATTAGGTACCATCATATCAGATATATGTTTGAAGTGTGTATTATGTTATGTAATGAATATGAAATATTGAAAGGTATCAGTGACATGAAGTTATATATTTGAAATATCCTTTGCTGTTAGGGACAGTATATTAAATATGATAATTTATTAAAAAAACTAATGATATTCTAACAAAAGCACTCCGTCAACTACGTGTCTACGTGTAAAAAACGCTAAGTGAAAAAAACTTAAAGATAAATGCTATAAAATGTGTGATATAAGATGGAATCTAAGTAAATGGTCTAATCGCTCTAAATGTGTAAAATGTATATAATATATAAATATATAATAATATATATATATTATATTATTAGTAATTAATCAAAATTTAATAAAAATTGGTTATTTATATTTATTTATTATATGAATTATTTTAACTAAAATTAATCCAAATTTAGTTTACTTGGCCGGAGGATTCAGTCCAGTCCCTAAATATCCAAACTTTCGTACTACACACATACGACATACCTAATCCCAAATCGGTCAAATCTAAATTATTTCTAGATAAACACTAGTACCTATACTATATACCACCGTTCATGACTAGCTGATAATAATAAAAATAGCTACTCTTAATAACAATGAATAATAATAACTACCTATATAATAAGAGTATAAGACGTAACAACACAAAATATTGTTTACTGTGTGTCTATGTATAGTAGATAATAATTAAAATGTGGTTTAGCAAAAAACCATTAAAATAGTTAATCTTCAATAGTTAATAGGTTTAGATAATTATTTAATTTTAAGATTTTTGGTGTATCAAGGACGCTTTGTCTATTAATTCATACAACATGAATACCTTAATAGGTGGCCTTTTGCATATAAAATACTCTCTGTACAAAAATATGTAGGTACATTTATCATTTATCTACCTATATTCAGTATTATTACCTATATTATGTATTGCATATATTGGGCACGGACAAATCTGAAATCGGGGACATTTTCGTGAATAAAGGTATACTGTTTCAAATGAGCAGTACACAGGATTACCTTCGGGATTACCAGTCAGCATTTGTATTATTTTAACATTTTAGTTTAAAAGTTATTATAAAATATTATCATAGAAAAGAGACCACAATTATGTGGGTAGTAAAATTACCCCAGCTACGGTAAAATTTGTTAGGTAAGTAAAAATTAATTGTTACGCTAGGCAATTTTTACCCCAGGTGATTTTTACCCACCACGGTAAAATTTGTTGGTGGGTAAAAATCGCCCGTTAGGTTAGGCGATGTCATAGACCTATAAAAGAATGGACCGCTCATAGAGAGAGATACGTGAATCAAAGATATGTGCGAGAGAGAAAGCTCTATGTTAGAAATACCAAAGACGATATAAGCAAAATTATATTAATTAGTCTTTGAAATATTTTTTTTTCGTGCCATTTTAAAAATTAACATTTTATAAACTTAGTCAATATATTTTTTAGTTTCATAACAAATAACCAAATGTAACAACAAATTTATTTTACATTAGTGACAGTTGTTTAAAAATAAAAATCAGTAGAATAATATTTTAAAACTAAGTATTTCCTTTCAGCCATTTTTTCACTGGTGTTTAAAGTGGATTAGTTTTGTAAATAACCTTCTTACTCTTTTGTCTATTTCATTCAAAGTTGTGTTAATATGATGGATTCTTATGGTTATAAATGTTTTAAGTATTAACCTAATCATCTGTATCAAATGGTTATTGAGCGGTTCTTGATCCATAAAGTGGTTTGTTAAATTTAAAAAATATTTATCTATACATAACATTGATATTGATTTTAATACCAAATAGTCAATACTTATGTGGTTAGATTTTTTGGAATATTCTCTGACTGTACGTTCTGCAATCTGACATAAACTAACTACATCAGCGTTGGCCATTGTAAGACCACCTCTATTTTTTTTATTCAGTAATAGTGAATTTGTTTCATGTGATTTTATTTCTTTAGCACAAACTTCACATTGAATACGCTTCAAAATGGATCTCACCACAAATCCAGCGATATATCCCACTACATCTTTAATATAATTGGAATTTTGGTATACTGTTAATAGTTCATCTTCATCTTCTACAATATGTTGACTCCCAGCTGCACATAATAAATCAAGTACCACATCTTGGTCTTTGGTTGGTGACTTTTTTTTTAAACTTGATATTTTAAGTATACTTGTACTATCTTGTGCAAGACAATTTTCACTTGTGCTTGATTTGATTTCAGCGTGTACTAGAAGTGCTTTATATGCAGCTTCAAACTGAGTTACCGTCGGATTATTATTAAAGCCTCCTTTTGCTCTTATAGCAGAAAATAACATCTCCACATGGTCTTGGCTGAACTTGTAGCTTAAAATAAATTTAAGATAACCACCATTAATCAGATCGTAAGTTAAATTTATTAAAGATTTAAGGCATAATATTAATCCTTCAAATCCTGTCCTTCTATTTGATTGTAATAATAATTTTACAGTTACTACATTATTTGACTTTTTATCAAGACATTGTAATTTTTCTATGTACACTATTCCTTCATTCATGAATTGTATAATTGATTGTTTGTTGTTTTCATTAATAGGTTTGTTGTATGTGTTTTTACTTAAAAATTCCTAGTATTCAGTACATCAAATATATTGTTCATTAAACGGCAAAATTTAACTGTTGCTTCTGCTCCTTGTAACTCTGGTAGCTTCAAATCATTCATACAATATTCAATCGCATCTGCAACACTATTACTGAAGGTTTGTACAGCTAACCGGACACGCATTTTTTCTTTGGTATAATTGATATGTTGTGATCTAATTTTTGTAGCTAAATGTAATCCTGTTTTATTTTGTATATTAACAAGTGCATTAAAATATGACCATTTGATTTGCTGTTCTTCATTATCCAATAACAATCCCCAATCTCTTAGAGTACCTATTTCTACATAATTTAAGCATGTGACAAGGGTCTAAAATAAGGTGTACTTTTTCGTTGGTTTCAGGATGATCAAAAGAACTTTGCAAGTATGGATAATGTATATTAGCACCCAATACCTTTGCCATGGCTTTGTTACTGGAAGCTCCATCAAATGTAAGTGACTTGGTTAAAATACCTGTTGAATGCAATTGTGATAAACATGTTCTTATTATATTAGCTTTTTCTTCTGCAGATAAACCATTAATAAGATAATAGCCAACTGCTATTTTCCAATGTGCATTATATGCACAACCATAATTACTAATGCATCCTTGGCACATGGCAAATTATCCATGTCATTTATGCTACCCGGACCGTAATAAATAAAACCCTGGTAACGTGATCCAGTCCAGTGAATATTTTCTTTTATACACATTTCATCTAACATTAGTCCACCAATTAATTGTTTTCCACTTTCTTTAAATTCTTGAACTTTACTTTGTATAGCTCTTAATGATTCTGATGCTACTC